TGTCATTTTATGCTGCCCCTTAATTTAAGAAATCTTAACAAGATTCTTGCTTATATTTACTTTTATGTGGATTAAATGTGAGCTTGAGAAACTTTTGTCAGCTGTAACATCTGTAACACCATCATCATCATCACTCTCAAACTGCCTATTTAGAACTCCCCTTAGTTCCCAGAAAACGGTTAAAATATTTTTTCATGCATTGTTGAAACCTTATTCCATATTAATATGCCATCCAATTTTACTTCCTCAGAGCCCCAGAATTACATTTCATTATGTGCCTCCATTCAGCCACCATTCCTTTTTCAAGGACCATTGAATATGTGAGTGAGACTTAGATTTCCGAAACCTTTTTTTATATTTGTATGTCTTCATAAGCCTTCTCTGATTGACTTCTTGATCTAGTTACTTCCTACTGACCTTGCTGCCTCTTGTTACCCACATTTCTTTCCTCACTGATTTTAACCTTGATTGAATTTGGGAACTCTCCTCAGATGTGGAGGTACACTACCTCCCACTGCTGTACCCTGTTTAACCCTCTTCAATCCTGGTCCTACTCCCTGTGATTGAAACGATTCCCTGGCAGACATTCTTTAATTTGGAGACTATGATCTGCCTGATTCTAGGCTGTGACCATTTCACATAGCCACTCAGATATTATAGATGGTACTGGAAAGATTATGAAACAGTTACTTGGTATCATTTCTGAGTAATGAGTTCTTTATCTTTCACTGGCCAGCAAGAACTGTGGCAAGATTATCCCAGGTGACAACTGTCTCTACTACCCAGGGCCTCAGAGCCCTCTGAAGCGTCCTAATTGTCCAGAACAACTCTATTCAGGGGCTAGCTTCCATGAGACTCAACTTTTAAAAATCAGTCTTCTTTCTCCTTCCCAGCAGGCAGCTTCAGATGGAGAAAGTAATTTCATTTTCTTATTCACTCATTCCTTCATTCATTCACTTAATCAACATACCATCAATCCCCTGTTATGTCAAGACTATGCTTGTTTCTGGTAACCAGAAAATAATAAGGTATGGTTTCTTCAAGCACTTAAGGAGCTTATAAACTAGTGATGAAAGATGTACAAACAAATCAATAAAGAATAATGCTTTGGCGGGGTAAGCGGTGGTTCGGCGAGGGCTCTCTCTGAGCGCACGGACTCAGGCACCTGGTCTATCTGCCCACTTGGGACGGAGGTCGACTCAGCGTTTAGCCGCGGGCCCCAGACCCCGAAAGGTGGGCGTGGTGCCGGCAGTTGGGGCGACTGGGCCAGAGTGGGGGACCATGTACTCAGCCCACAGGCCCCTGGTGCCCGGGTTCAGCCCAGCCTCTTCATGTTCCATCAATACCGCATGGGCTCTGGGACTGCAGGGGTCAAGGGTTTGGGGTACGGAGTGCGGAGTAACGTTCATGGGGTATAGTAAGAGAATGGTGGAGGCAGAATAAAGGGAAAAAGTTACAGAGCTTGACTGGGCCAAGTGGTTAGTGATGGCAGGTGGGAGTGTAGCGGAGTAATGGGAGTGCGGAGTGGGGAGTAACTGGGGACAGGTGTGGGGTGGAACAGGTCCGTTGCCATTGGCGGTGAGGGCTGCAGAGTAGCTGGCTTCGTAGCATTAATTACAATAGGGTGAGACCTGCTGGTGGGAAATAGAGAGGGAGAAGGGGCTGGGGCTGTGACTGAGTAGTGGGACTAAGGACAGGTCTTGAGAAGAGAGCGAGGCGCTGTTTGCTGGGATCAGAGTACTGTGTTTGTGGTGTGCTTTACAGAGAGAGGGAGAGACCCAGGAACCTGGAGGGTAGTGCACTTGTAATAGAGGAGAACGAATGTGACTGTTGGATCTGTTCCTTTAGCTCTAACCACTGTGCCCTGTTTTCTAGGTTTATTCTTGTTAGCTCCTCACCTTTTGTAAATGAATTTTACCTGTAGCCTGTCTGGTAAACAGGAGAGCCTTTTCTCAAGGCTCTGACCTTTCAGGATATTAACACTTCTGCACTTATATAAAGATAACAAGTTGCAGAATAGAAAGTAACCTTTGTTTTCTTGGAGGTTTTGCAGGACCTGGCCCACATGCACAGCTGCAAGAACAAAGAATTCCTACAGCAAGAAGTTGCAACAACCAACCACCACCCCCCTTTTAATTTATAAAAGGAGGCTGTATTCTGACTGGAGGAGGATGGTTCTCCAAGACATTAGTCTGCCATCCTCTTAGTCAGCCAGCTGTCCGAAAGAAGTCGCTATTCCTTGCCCCAGTACCTCGTCTCCTGATTTATTGGCTTGTGCGGCAGAAGAACTAGCTGGGACTCGGTAACACGCTGGGGAGGAGTTCGGGAAGGGCAGGACCAAAGGCTTGTTCCCGCATTGTCTGCTGGGCCCCTCCTTCCCCACCCAGCGGAAGATGGGGAGGCCCTGATGAGAAAGATCTTTGTGAAGAGGGGCAGGTCCAGGTCTCTAGAGGCTGTTACGGTTTTGGAGGGCCCAGCAGGCTTTTGGGGCTCCAGTGCCCCAGTGGTAGGGGATGGGGTTGTCCTAGTGACTTGAGTCCCTTCCAGTGTTGTGTTGTTCCTCTCCTGTTGCCTCGATGTCTACTTTTTCTTTTGTCAGCATGTCACAGTGTCAGGTCTTGAGGCCAGTGCCTCACACAGGGGCTCCCCTAGGCCAGTCTTCTGAAGGCATGGGCTGGGGTGGGGTGGGAAGGCTCAGCCCAGGTCAGATTGATCTAGATCAGGGGGAAGCATGGAATAATGGGGACCAGGGCTAGGGCGGCTCCCTGCTCTCTTCTTGGTCTTCCCCTAGCAGGGGCCTCCTCTGCTGGATCCACTTCCCCCAGGGAGCCGGCAGTGAGAAGGATGCGCACTCCCAGCCTGGGCCAGCCCCAGGAGTCCAGCCAGGGGTGGGACCCAGCCTAAGGCTGGCCCTCCTACCACCTAGCTCCTGGAGCAGGAGATTGGACCACTACAACTGGTCTCCTGGTGAGGGAGGAACCGTCCTGTGTGTATACTCAAGGAAACACCTGGCACTGTTGCCTTCCCTGGGCAGAGACTTGTAATGATTTTCTTGTCTGCCCCTTCATCTGTGCCCCATTTTTTGAAGGAGTTGACTGCATCCTCCCATCCTTTGGGCAAGGAGTCTGGATGAAAAAAAGAAAAAAGAATAATGCTTTGACTTTATTTGTATTATTTAAATTTTTATGAATATATTTCTATACTACATCCTATCTAAAATTGAAATAGAGATATAAGAAAAAACTAGCAATGTAAGAGATCCACAGTAATGTGTAAGTTATTCAGAGAGTTAACTTGAGATACTTGCACTCTCAAAGAAGAGTCTAATCTAATGCCGATGATGCTGAAAGGATGCTAATTCCTTTAGTTTATGAAATGTATAGAGGTATGTGTGTTCCTTCTCACAGGGGTTAGTAACTTGGGGAGCGGGGCTGCTACAGATTCAGGTCCTACTTCAGTGGCAGGTCCACTTATCTCTTCTTCAGATCATATTCTCAAGCAGGAGCTACAGGATGACACAACTAAAACAATTTACTTCCTTTGCTTACCCACAAGCCTGTAAGAGGCTTCTGCAGGACTTCCTTGGTTCCTTTCATCATCACCTTCACCACCAGAGGTCAGGGAAAGCTTCTGATTAATCAGGGGCCGTGGAAGTGATACAGAAAAGTATTGATTTAAAAGTAATAACATTTATTTAGGGCTTCCTAGGAGCTCATTGCTTAAAATGTGGTCCTATTTAATCTTCACAACTACTCTTATGAAATTGGTATTAATAAATCTCAGATGTATCCAAAATAAATCTCTGTGTCAAGGTGTAATATTTTTAGGCCTCTTATGTCTTTAGGTTCATCTGGGCATCAGACATAAGGTAGTTCAACCTAATGCCCTTGCCCTGAGCAGCTCCAGATTCCAAGAATTGACCAGTTACTACTTTGGATTCAATGGATGGTCAAAAAGGATCATAAGGGTAAAGTGTAGATTTTCTTTGACTAACCAGACTCCTTTCAACATTGAAATCCTAGACTTCAGAGAGAAGACTAGAACTGGGTTGTGGGGAGATGTGAGAGACCTCCAAGTGGAAGTGTCTGAGCATTGCCCTGCCACTTAGAATTGATGATAATCTCAATGACTTGGTGGTGGTGTTCCTAATTTTCTCCAGTATTTGTATGATATATAATAGAAAACAGTTGTCCATATCTAGTAATTCATTTGCAAGTCTTCCTTGATTTTGAAGCAACAGGACACCTCAACTATTAACTGGGCTTGCTGGAGTTTAGATTTTACTTCTAATAACAAAATATTTTGAAGTCTTGCCTTTAATTTGAAGTCCTGGGTAGGGGTGTAACTCAATGGTAGAGCATGTGCTCAGCGTGCATGAGGTCCCAGGTCCAATCCCCAGTACGTCCATTAAAAAAAACCAGAAAAACTCATCACCAAAATTCTACCAGCTTCAGGATCTTTCTGACCTTGAAGAAAGGGAAAATGAAAGTATTGTGGCACCACATCAGAAGCAAAGCCTGAAGTTCTGTGCTTTAGAGGTGATGTTAACATCCTATGAGGTCAGGAGTCCTGGAGCTGGCATCCCCAAGGAACCCTTGGACAAGCTGGAGGAAGATCTGTTTTCCAGTGTGTGGTGGGTAGTGAGGGGGTGGGATTTCTCCTTTTTCCTTTCTTTCTAAAACTTTTTTTTTTTCAGATACATCATCACCCTCGCTAAGCAACTAAAACCCTGGGCAGAGTTTTTCTGCCTTGTGATACAGATTCTTATCTTAGGCAATGCCTGACAGAACCTTTAACTTTAAAATTTTAGAGCTCATTGCCTGTCAAGAAGCTTAGGAGGAGGGAAAAATTCTTTTTTTCCATTTTTGGTTAATAATTTGTTTTGTGCTAAAATAATCCTTTCCAATACAGATTTATTGTAGCCTTCAGTTATCCCAACAAAATAATCATGTAAAGATTTAAACTCTTGTATAAATGTTCAGTCCTTTGCCTCCTATACAAGGACTGGAGTGGATAAAGTCAAATGTAGATCCCTAGAAGGGTTTTTCCAGCTAGTACTGAGTTTTTTCCTAGAACCCATGGCAGTTGCAGTTAGGGTTTTAAGTCAGAGGCAGGTCTGTTAGTTAATGGAGTGGAGGAGTGCTGGGAAACAAGCTGCTGGACAACAAACAGCTAGAAAAGAAGCGACTCCTAAATCTCCATGAGCTTAAAATATATTCACACTTGCTTAAAATGCACATGCTTGCTTTGTTTTAATGTTTTGTGCAGTAGATGACCTATAGCACGTATTATGCTAAAGAAAATTTGTGGTGAGCAATCCTGACATTGACCATAAGGGCATGAAGGAGGGCAGATACTTCCTTAGGGTGAAACAATGGATGGTCTTGGAAAGCCAGATCATCCATTAACAGAACTTTGTTCTGGCATGAAAGCATGCTGTTGAACCCAGGGGGAGTATCTGCTATCTTGAGATGTCCTGGAGGCAATGACAGGATTGACTCAGAAATTTTGCATACCCATAGGAGGAGGGTGATTGTTCCTGGAAGGGATGGGCCTGAAATTAATCAGTTAACCAGCAAGCAGAACTTAGTGCTTATCGCATGAAATATCCAAAGCCCCACATCTTTGATCACATTTTTTTCTGAGCTGTATACTCCTAATAAATATAATGTTGACCAGGCTTTCGGCACTCCAGATCCACGAAATGTCGAGTCCCCTGGTCCCATCTTTGTTCTTTACTTTGTCTCTTTGTTTCTTAAGTCTTGCATCGCCCGTCCTCAGACACGATCCTGAGCTGCACTGGACACAGCAGAGGAGGCTCCACCATCCACCTGAGTGGCTGATGCTCTGGGAGGGGCCAGATCATCTGCACTACCACCAACTCTGTTTCATTGTGTGATTCCAGCCGTTTATGCACAGGAGAGCAGGAGTGTAGCTTCAGCTTGTCCATTTGAAATCTGAGTGATGTGAGATTTGTGCCACATTCTTGGCTTGCATCTCCCGTCTAGTACTTCAGGAACTTCCAGAATAGATCTGGGCAGTAAAAATGTGCCCTGCCGGGATATGTCTATAACAGAGCCATTCGACCACACGCTTGTGTTGTGCCTACCTTTAGTTGCTCTGAGAATGATCTAAGAATTACAGGTGCGTTTTTCTTTTTAAATGTATAACATAAAAATCAGTTATTCAGATTGGCATTTTAAATCAATTTGTTTTTCTTGGATTTAGGGCCATTATCATTACTTATGAAAAGGAAAATAACCCAGAAGGTTGGTATTCAAAGGCTATGACAGATGCATTCCAGAAACTGCTGATTGTGGTTTTAGGTAAGACTTTATTCTTTTTTTTTTTTTTGAGGGGGGAGATAATTGGGTTTATTCATTTATATACTTGTTTTTAGAGGAGGTGCTGGGGGTTGAACCCAGGACCTCGTGCTTGCTAAGCATGTGCTCTGCCACTTGAGCTATACCCTGCCCACTCTAAGACTTTCTCGGTTGTCCTTGAAGTGCTTCAGTTTCAAGGAGCAAATAAACTTATTTGAAAAGTTAACTGAATAAAAATAATGGTCACCTAAAACACTATATATTCTTTCAGTCACTAAATTCTTTCACAGTGGCAGTCTCAAATTTGTTCTCTGGGGCATTTCTGAGAAGAATGACAGCAAGTATTACTATGTCCAGCGTGCAGATGCAGACCGCCTTGTCCCACTTCACACAGAGTGTGCTCCATCCAGCTCTTCTTTCTCGATCGCTTGCTTATACAGGTTGGTAGAGTGATTATAAGCCTTGGACACATGTGTTTGAGTCCTAACTCTGTCTCTTAGGGTTTTTTAAATGCAATTTTAGGTTTTCTAGCCAGAGAGATTTGGAGGTATTTATTATCTCTAAGCTGCATTATCGTTTTATGCAAAATATGGTTAGTAATTCAGCTCATCTCATGGGGGATCGTGTAAGAGTAATGAGATGGTGAATGTAAAAAGCTTAGAACTGTGCCTGGAACATGGTAAGCAGACAAAATATGTTGACTGTTATTTATTGTTGTTTCCCTGTTGCAGAGTTTAAGATTTAGTATTAGATTATGTTTTTGGAGTCAATTCAGTTTGTTTTCTTTTCTCATGTGTTGTGTGAATATGATTCTTTTAATAAATTAGCTACGTTTTCGTGAGCCTTGAAAGTGGTCATGCTGTTAAATGGCATCGATTGTGTTCCCTATTGAGTTACACAGTGGTGAGAACGTCCCAGGCTCCGCACAAAGGAAACTTTATGGTTGTTCATTCCTGGAGCAGAGTCATTCCCCTGCTTCACAGCCCTGCAGACTGAGAGACTGAGAAAGCCTAGTGAAGTTGTCAGAGACCTTACTTGCTTATTAAGAGTTGACCGTGGATGGGTCTCAGCCTCCCAGCGCAGGCAGTCCTTCCTGTGAAGGTTGACTTCCCTGGTCACCAGGCAGAATCCCCATCAGCTGTCAACTTTTGATTAACAACCTTTAAGAACCAAACTAAATGTCTGGGTTGTTTGCCTGTTCCTGACATGCTGAAGGTATTCCTTACTTGCACTCACAACTCCTTAGACCAGAAAGCCTTGTGACTCTAGTTTTCCTTGAGGGAAGTTGTATTGTCCAAAAGTTACATCGGCCAGTTTCTGCCAGTAGTGTTCAAATGCTTGCTCTCTCTCTCTCTCTCTCTCTCTCTCATTCTCTCTCCCTTTCTCTCTCTCTCTCACCCCAAAGCTTTGTTCGTTGTATCTGGTGGAATTTTGGTCCCAAGGAGCAGACAGTAGCCTTGTTTCTAATATAAAGTATCTGTTATAGTCCGATGGTGTCCATCCCAGGTTTGAACTCACTTTGACCCCCACCTGATGCCTTACTATTTAATCACATTATGATTGAACATTTTTGTTTCTGACAGCTTTTACTTCATGTGTCATTATTTCTCAGTTCTTATTTCTAAGACCATAAAGTTTTTTGAACCAAGCAAAGTTGGTACTTCTTATATACATTTTCACAAATAGTTGTGATAAATACTGAAGTGTCAGATGAGGGAACTGCTAGGAAAATGCTCTTATTTTCTGCTTTTAGAAATCAAAAGAATGTCTAATTATTGGGTGCTACCGTTGTATACAGGAAGTTTTAGAACAAGAAAAGTTCTGAACTGACCCTTGTTAACTGTATTTCAGAAAGCGGTAAAATGGCTGTGGTGTACAGACCCTGTGAAGAGGTCACAGGTGCTAGGACTGAAGAGGACGTACAGGATTTAATTCAAGTATGTGGAGATAAAAACTCGAGGGGCACCCAGCCAGTGTCGCCGTAATTCAAAACAACCAGCAGGATTTGGAAGACTTTGGCTTGTCCACTCAGCTCTGTCATCCTTAGGGAAATGTGAAACTCTGAAACTGCTTTTGAGGCAGGGGATTTCTGGGGCTTTTCCTGAAGTCCTGACCCTTGGCTCTGACCCCTTATTTGCAATTTGGAGAGCAGGACTGAGGGCCATCAGCGTGCTTCTGCAGTTGTGGACACAGGAGAAGACAAAGGCCTTTTAAAACTCCCCTCAAGCAGAATCCCAGGCATTTAGGAACCAAGTAACTATGGCCTTAAGTGGGATTATGCTGCAGCGTTTGAAAACTATGAATGCCTTTCAAATAAGGTGTGTTGTTACCCAGATCTCAGCATCTCATGTATATCTTATGTGAAATATTTTGCTGAAAAACCTTTCTGTAAATCAATTATATGGATGTCCTGAATTAGAGATTAAGTTTTCAAAGTAATTTCTAAAAGAAAATATTAATGAACTGCATGTAAGATTTTTTAATGAGTAAAAATGTGTTTTGTGTCATTGAGAACTTAATGTGCAGCTAGATTTCTTTTCTAATTATGTAACTCTCCCCAGCATTGTCAAGTTTGTTATGAAGAGAAGAAAGCAGAGAAAGAAAAGATGGTTATGTTCTGAAAAAGTATTTGAAGTTTTTTCTGCACAAGATAGTTATTTTAATTCAATTTATATCAAATTATTTTAAATTCAGTTTAAGTGAGGGACGCTTCAGTCATATCCATGTTTGGGCTTTAAGAAGTCTAGCTTCTTGTGAAATGTGAGAGGAAGGGATTCAGTATCGATGCTAAAGTTTTCAGAAAGCTGATTATAACAACAGACCCATTCCTCACTGGCCAATCTTGGAATCAATTCCATTTAAAAACCGTTAAGTGCTTGACACTGGGAATAAGATGAAGCTCCTTCTCCATGGAGTTTAGTGGCCAGAGGGTGTACCAGATAATTAAAAAGGACTAAAATTAAAGAGATTATAAGGGCTGTGAAGGAAGTAAACTGGGTGCTAGTTGCAGTATTTAAAGAAAATTATTTGACATGCTGACTTCATTGAGAGGGAGGAGGTAATTAGGTTTTTATTCATTTACATATATTCTGTTTCTTAAAAATATAATTTTATTGAAGTATAGTCAGTTTACAATGTTGTGTCAATTCCTGGTGTACAGCACAATACTTCAGTCATATAGGAACATACATATATTGGTTTTCATTTACTTTTTAACCATAAGTTATTAGAAGACACTGAATATAGATCCCTGTGCTATACAATATAAACTTGTTTATCTATTTTGTACATAGTAGTTAGTATCCGCAAATCTCCAACTCCCAACTTATCCCTTCCCATCCCCTCCCCCAGTTTATTTTTAATGGAGGTACTGGGGATTGAACCCAGGACCTTGTGCTTGCCAGGTACGCACTCTAACCACAGAGCTATCCCTCCCCTCAACATGCTGATTTTAACATCCTAGGTGTCTTCTGTGTGTGTGCACGCAGGGTAGACCTCTGAAAAGTGGCACTGTAATTTTTTCTAGACTAATGGCTGTGCTGAGAAAAGGTGAGATGGCGAAATTTTTCCAGTGCTAATGTTAAGGGCTGTTCACTTGGTTTCCATCTCTTTCCCAGAATGAATTGCTCACCTGCTCCAAAACCCTTCCCGTAGAAATTTTGGAGTCATCACTGATTCAGTGGTAACCCCTAATAATAGAGTGGTGAATTTTATAATCAGACATGGATCCTGAGAGTTTAGAGGACATGACAACACTTTAGAGTAACTGTAAGGTGTATTCCTCTCCCACTGCCCTAACTGGTACTCATTTTGTAGGTCAGTTACTTTTCTTGGAAGCAGTGTGGCCAAGGGAAGGAAGAATGTCTCTCAGATTTCAGTTTTGAGGAGGAGGAGTTCAGAAGGCCGGAACTGGACTAGCCCTTTTGAATTTCCCGGAAGGCTGGGCCCTGTGACTTCCTTGAGAAGCTCTGCACCATCACCCCCACCCCTGCACTGCTGGAGTCCAGGGCCACTCTGGTCGGCAAACCAAATCCTGCCTCATCATGCTGGGGGCCAGGCCGGGGTTGGAGAGAGGGCCTGGCTGGAGGTGTCAACTTTGCTGGGGGAAGGATGGCCTGGGCCTTGGGAAAAAGCCTCAGATTGGATCTCCACCCTGACCTAATAAAGGTCATGTCACTAAAGGTGTGTCAGAAATAAAGGGTGGGGCGTGAGGCAGGGGAGGGGTGCACGTGTAGCCAGGCTGCCATATCACTTGGGTTTCCATTCAGCACGCCTGGCCAGAGCCCCACTGGCCTGGGTCGCTGTGCCCGAATTGTCTGCAGATCATGCTTCCGTGGCTCTTCTTTGCATGGTAACCATTGTGGGTGCTAGCTATTCCAGGCAGTTCAGCCCCTGGAATGGTCCCTCGACTCTGTCCAGCTGACCTCCGACTCAGAGCCAGGGGACTTTAATTACTCCTTTAATTCCTTCTCTACAGCCCAGATGTTGGCCCCACCTCATCAGGAGTTGACTGAGACTTTGCTTCTATACCCAGACCGGGATAAAGATGGAGAGCTGCCCACAGGGCCATATCGAGGTGTGGCTGTCTCACATTCAGAGGGGAATGACAAGCTAATCCAGCATCAAAAGCTCCCAGAGTAGGTTCCAGTGCGAGGCTGGGATCAGAATCAGGCCCTAGCTCTGTCTCCTCGACCCAAAGGTAACATTAAAGCTGTAGATGTAGATGAAGCCGAAGATCACCAGTCATTTGAAATACTTGTTCCACCTCTAGGTGGTAAGAGTTCAAAACCAACAAAGTTTATTGTTTCACCCTGAAGAAAGGTTTAGTTCACCAACGACGACTTGCCAAACAGTTGCACGATGATTATTTGGATTCCAGTATGGATGACTTTTATCCTGAGGAGAACCTACCTGTGAATGTTCTGGGAAGCCCAGATCAACCTCCAGAGCCTCCTGAGGGGGCTGAAATGTCCTCATCCCTGCAGGAGGCCCAAACTCATTGTCCAGAGCACACTGAGGAGTTTGACTCTCCACCCCAGCAAGAGGCTCCTGCTCAAAATTCGCAGACCCCTGAGAAGGTTGAACCTCTTCCACCCCAGGCAGAGGCCCAGGCTCAGCTTCCAGAGACCACGGAAGAGACAGAACCACCTCCCCTTCAGCAGGGGCTCTGTCTCAGCCTTCAGAGGCCCCTGAGGAAGTAGGACTTCAGTCTCTCAGGAGGAGGGAGGACTTCAGGAGGTTTTAGTTCAACCATTAAGGCATCATGAGGTAGACCAGGAATTTACTGTAACTCAACACCCAGGGTCACCTAAGACACCTTCTTCTTCGACTCCGTCTTCAGGGATGCATTCTGTAACATATACCCCAGAAAAGGAGCAATGAGAAAAGAATTCTTCCACAAGCATAAACGTCTGTGAGCTCTGCATCTGCAGTAATGAGACCTTGTCCTGCGCTGGTCTCAGCCCAGAGGCGAGGCTCTGCAGAGTGCCCGTGCCAGAGCCCGACAGCTACAACGGCACCTTCACCGTCCTGTAAGAATTGCTTTTCCTCATTTGTTCTCTGCATCCTGCCTGACCTGACAGCCTTTCTTTGAGGTCTTCCTGGGTCTTCCTCATCTCCCCAGTTCACATTTGACTGTTTTTACCTTTTGTTTGTCTTATAAGCAATTTCTTATCTTCATTTGCCTTCTTACTATCATTCCTTCTTCTCCAGTCTTTTACTTATAATTGCTCTTATTCTTTTTCCTTCTCTACTTTTTACTCCATTATTTAATTTCTTAACATCTACTCTTCTCTCATTTTTGCTCCATCCTCGTTACAGCACCATGGCCCTCTCCCCATCCCATTGTAGGTAATACAACAAAGTGGTTAAGAATAGAGATTCTGGGGTCAGACTACCTGGGTTTGAATCCAGGTCTGCCATTTGTTAGCTTTGTGACTCAATTTCCTCATCTGGAAAATGGGGATTATCATAGTCACCATCTCATAGGATTTAGATAAGTCAATACATGTAAAGCTTCTTTGTCAGTGCCTAGCATATATCTGAGTGTTAGCCATTATTATTATTTGATCCCTCAGTTATATTGAGAACTCATCTTTGCCCCCTGGATTTCTATATATAGCACCCAATTTATGCCCAACCCAAAGCTAAGTACCGTGGGAGCCACAGAAGTATGGCATTGTCTCCAGAAAATGACAGTAATAGCTGGGAAGAAAGGGAATACACCTTAACAGGGAGGTGATGTGTTTAATACTCAATTGAGTATTAAAAGAGATACAGAGAGGTGCTGTAATTAACCAGAACCTGGAATCACTGGGGTGTGGCGGTCAGGGGAAACTGCATGGATAAGCTAAAACTTTAGCTGGGATTTAAAAGACTGGCTGTGATTTGTTAGAGTAAAAATAGGGAGTACAGTCTAGGGAAAGATGTGGCTGCAGGAATCATCAGGATTTAATAGATCAATCTAGCTGTAAAGAATTGGGTTAGGCAGCAATGAAAGATATGTTTATGAAAAACCTTGACTGTCACAAATGGGGGTTTGAAAAATATGCTATAAGATACAAGGGAGCCATTGAAAATTTTCAGGGAAAAGAGATAAGTGATTAAAATAAGAAGCTTATTTTAGATTCCATATGTAGTGTGATCTAGAGAGGAAAGTTTGATCCAGGGAGACCAAATAGAATGCTGTAGCAAAATCTAGGAGGAAAGTGAGAATGGGCTGAATTGGAGTGGTTGTGACAAGAGCAGAAGAGAAATCCTGAGCGCACTACAAAGGAAAAACCGACAAGATTTAGTAACTGCCTAGAGTTGGTGGAGTGGGGGGAGGTGTACAGGAAAGAGAAAAATCAAATATGTTGATGAGGAGAATGATGGTGGTACAACAGGTCGAAATACAGTTGGGAAGGAGAGCTTGGGCCCTGGGAAAAAGCCTGACTCTGGTTGGATCTCCACCCTGACCTAATAAAGGTCATGTCACTAAAGGTGTGTCATAAATAAAGGATGGGGCGTGAAGCAGGGGAGGGGCGCACATGTAGCCAGGCTGCCATATCGCTTGGGTTTCCATTCAGCGTGCCTGGCCAGTGTCCCACTGGCCTGGGTACTATGCCCAAATTGTCTTTGGATCATGCTTCCACAGTGTTTTGTTTGCTGCGGCTCTTGGCTTGGCAACCACTCTGGCTTCTGGCCCAGGGAGTTCAGCCCCTGGAATGGTCCCTGGACTCTATCCAGCTGACCTCCAACTCAGAGCTGGGGGACTTTAATTACTCCTTTAATTCCTTCTCTACAGCCTCATCAGGAGTTGACTGAGACTTTGCTTCCATACCCAGACAGGAATACAGACGGAGAGCTGCCCACAGGGCCATGTCAGTTTGCTGTTCCATGTCAAGATGGGAATGACAAGCTGATCCAGCATCAAAAGCTCCCAGAGGAGGTTCCAGTGGTAGGCTGGGATCGGAATTAGGCCCCAGCTCTGTCGCCTCAATCCAAAGGTAGTAACATCAAAGCTGCAGGTGTAGATTAAGCTGAAGATCACCAGTCATCTCTAGGAGGTAAGAGTCCAAAACTCAGGCTGCCATAACGCTTGGGCTTCCACTCAGTGTGCCTGCCAGTGAGGGTCACTGTGCCCAAATCATGTGCAGATCATGTACACATGCTTTTGGTTCCCACGACCCCCTTCTGTGTGGCAACCATTGTGGCTGCTCTTCCAGGCAGTTCAGCCCCCGGAACGGTCCCTGGACTCTGTCCCGCTGACCTCTGACTCCCCTGGGCTGAGCGAGACTTGTCTTTTGCAATCCTCTAATCTCTCACCTGAATCTCCCCATGCGCTTACCAAGGGGTGCGAAAACCTGCGACCCCACTGAGGAGTCTTCTCCAATCCAACAGGAGTTCCCAGCCCCACTCCTGGAACACGTTAGGGACAAAACAACGTTCTCTAGCACAGCAGGAGGCCCCAGCTAGCCTTCAGAGCCACCTCAGGAGGTGGTTGTAGCACAATCTCCAGTGCATCGTGAGTTGACAGTTCCAGCTCTCAAGCTGAAGCTCAGCATTCAAACTCGTCACAGTTAAACCTTTCAATCTGGGCCTCACCATAACTCCAGCAGCCACGATGGAGGCTGAACGTCCTACAGCCCTGCAGCAGACATGCGGGAGAACCCCGCTCAGCCTCTGGGGCCACCTGAGGAGGCTGTAGTACAGCCTTCATGGGTTCAGGCTGTGGCAGCTCCAAGTCCAGTTCAGAGTTCTAACTCAGGATCCAACAGTGCCCAGCAGAGTCCGGGACGAGGCTTCAGGGCTGCAGCACTCTGGCGAGCTAGGGGGCGGGCCGCAGAGGGGCGGGATGGCTGAGACGCCAATGAGCAGGGGCACAGCAGCCCTCTAATCCCACAGATACTGGCCTTGAGACTGCCCTGCTTCAGAGTCCTCCCCCTTCCCAGCCCAATCCCCCATGACACACTGACCCTAGCCTTCAGCCTGCATTGCCACTAATGGCCTGTCCCCTCCATTTCCCACCTGTGACCTGGCCCCAGCCCTACCCTCACCCCTCACCACCGGTCTTGCATAAATGCAGCCTCACCCTGCCTGGGGAGGAGAGCCTGAGGGTCCCCCAAATGCCCTGCCTTCTGCCTTGCCTGCGGTTGACCACTTGGGGCTGGAGAGGAGGGCATCAAGCTGTGACACCCCCCAGGAGGAGTTGAAGGTTACTGGGACCTGCCCTTTGGAGATACAGATGGCCATGGGCAGAGGCTGCCGCAATTAACCCTTGTGTCAGTGTGAAAAGGAGTCCCAAGGATTAGAAACAAAAAAACCAGAGGTCACCTCTCATCTTTCTGGACTGAACTTTCACAAGGCTTCACTCAGCACCTGCTGACTGCAGGCGAGGCCTGGTGGCCCTCTAGTTTGACGCCACGCTGTGCCCCTTTATGACTACTTTTCACCCCTGTCAACCTCTGGTCTGTTCTTGTGTTTTTCTTCTCTAAATTATAAACCTACATCCCAAACATCTATTATCTCCCACCTCAATCATGCCCTACAGGTACGATTTAAGAGGACTGGTAATCAGCCCAGCCACTTCCTAAACTATGTCACCTTGGGCAAGGTACTTAACCCCCATCTCAGTATCCTTATTTGTAAACTGGGTATAGCAGTCACAACTTCAGAGTACAACTGTACTGATTAACTGGCTAATGCGACTGGTATACAGAGAGCACTCAGGAAGTGTGGGCTATGATGAAGTCCCTGTGACCTTCAGGTCATGCCACGTGCCGCACACGCAGCTGTAGCCACTGTATCTCTTGTGTTTCCTCTGAGACTATGGCTGTGTCTAACCTCTACTTCTTATACTTCACACAGTGTCCAGCACACAGAAGGCGTTCAATAAGCTATTAACAGGAACTGATGGAGAAGTCGGCCCTGAAGAGCCCTGGTCATTTAGGAAGCCAGTCTTGAGAATGTTCTCAGGAACCCGTCAGCCATAGTGCAGTCCTCCGTGGAGTCTCCCAGCAGGAGGATGTTGCTTTTGCCCTGCAGCTGCTGGAAGTCGCTGGCGTACTCGCGCACAGGGCTGTTCTTGTATGTGTGCATGAGCTGGCCCTTGAATCCCCCTAGGAAACCCTAAATCATCAAGACAAGGGACAGACAGAAGGGCTATAAGGATCCATCTGGGGCCAGCTTCCCACTGTCTCTGCCACAGAGGAAAGGGAATCCAGAAAGCCATAGATGGTGCCAGAACTTCATTGCAGTCAAAACTCAGGATCAGCAAGCGAGGGCCCGTGGGCTAGATTTAGCCTGTTGGTAAATTACGTTTTACTGGAATACAGCCAGGCCCATTTGTATACATCTTGTCTATGGTGCTTTTTGTGTGCGACAGGGTTGAGAAGTTGTGACAGAGATTGTACTGCCCACAAAGCCTGAGGTCTTTACTACCTGGCCTTTACAGAAGAAGTTTACACCCCCTGGTTTAAACTAACAGGGACCATCAAATATTGTCAGTCACCTCCTCTGGCGGAGGCACACGGCCTGTGATGCAAGCACTGCTCCAGCTCACCTCAGCTGTGGGCCACACCCTAACCACGGGTCCAAGGGATGAAAATTCCAGCCATTGGTTTTAAGGGGAAGAAGTCAGAAGATGGGCAAGTCAGAGCAGTCCACCTCTAGCTCCAGAAAAACAAGTCCAAGCCAAGCCCTTGAGTACCTCGGATGGCACATGATCCACAACAGTGACATGGAGCCTGGGTGACCCCTAAACTAGGTCCTCCCTGGCAGAGAGCTGACTGTTGTCCAAACACCCAAAAGTGGGTCCTTCAAAAGTAACTGTCTTTAGATGGCATTAATTAATAAATCACTGTCCAGGAGGAAAGAAGCCAGCATGCCTTCCCCTCCCCCATCAGGGTTCATGTTTAGGGAGAAGCCCCCTAGCTGGTGGTCCCTACCCCTCTTCCAGGCCCCGCCCAAATGAGATTTGACTCACGTTTTCATCAAAATCCATGTAGTTAGCCACAATGTGGATGTTGGGGTGAAACACATTTTCATCTGCTGGATAATTTCTTCCACAATATCTCCAATGCCCGTGGAGAAGATGAAGAGGGGAATGCTGTTCTGGAAGAGGGTGTTGAAGAACATCTTGTATCCATCCCTGAAAAGAGATGAATGGGTTCTGAAATGGCACTGCCTCTGCTACTGTTCTTTATTTTCTACTTGGGTTACTTTAAAAAAATTTTTTAAACATTTTAAATTGAGGTACAAAACACATACAGTAAATGGTTAAAGTGCACTAATTTTACATGTTCAGCTTAATATTTACATATGTATACACCCAAGTAATTACTAACCAGATCAATGTTCCTTAGGGTCCCTTCCCAGTCAAAGCCATTTTGACTTCACATCACCATTGATCAGCTTTCCCTGTCCCTGAACTTCATATAAATGAGCCCCTATTTTTTTGTTTGTTTGTTCCTGGATTATTTTGCCTGAGGAAATACAACCAGGCAGCTGTCCTGGGGCAGCTCTGCAGGGGAATACCCCAAACCGCCCCGGGCACTTACTGGGTCTGTACATGTCTCTACTCCCCTGGCTTTCCGTGAGCTAGCCTCTTTCCCCAATCAAGATACAATCCTTGCGGGCAGGGACCCGTGTCGACTCCTTCTAAGTGCCCTCAACCCTCCTCCAGTAAAGAATGCTCCAACAGAGAGAGCTGCGCTGTGGAGGCTATGGATGATCAAGGGTCCCAGGCTGGCCAGCTCGTGTCTGGGTAAAGAATGCCAGTCACCATGGGGACTTGAAAAGTCTTTTTACCATTGGGAACAAGGAGCTAGATACTGTTTGTTCTAGGAGATGGAACCCTGGTCATATTCACACCATACCCACTACTGGCAGACTCCTTCTGAGGAAACACTCAGGGGTAGACAATCCCCTGGCTGTGCCCAGAGAGGAAAAAGAAGACCTTCTCCACGTCAGCTGCTCACGGTGCCATGTCTCTTCTGACTCTTCCAGCAACAAACTCCTCTCCACTCCTTCCCAGCCTTCTCTTCTGTGAGCAAACCCATTCTAAACAGTCTGGCAGAAATGTTTTCCAGAGCAGGCAGCTCACCTGAGTGTTGCATCGGACTCTCACCACTGGGGCTGTCTGAAAGCCCTGGACCTTCTGCTGCCATAGGAGAGCATGCGCTTTGGTCCACCCGGAAACAGATGCCCCACAAAACCCCCAAGTCAAACCACTAAGTCAAGTGTCCTCTCCCATCTCAGGGCTGTGTCCCTTCTGGAAGTACTGACGGCAGAGGAAGCCTCTTTTCCCCCAGAGCCACTTCCTGAAGAACCCTGGCTGTCCTTAAAGGAAGAGGGTGAGAGAGCAACACAACACAGTAGAGACGAGAGCTGGCGAGATGACACTGAGGTCAAAGCTCTCCTGAGTCCCTTCCTCTGTGACCCCACTCTCTGGAGAACTGGAGCTCTGCCCAGTGATACTGGCTTCCTTAGGAGGGTTATCGCCCCAAAGCACTTAATACCCCAAACCAAAAGTTTTCTAACTCATTCCAAAGATTCCCCATAAGCCCCCTACTGTAGCCACAGCCACAAGTAACGCTGGCTGTGTTGGGTCAGTTAGCTCTAACACCTGGGCTTGTGGCCTTCGGTAAGGTGCAGGAGATTGCTCCTCAACAAAGCTCAGGAAAGACAGACCCTCTCCCAGACCAACCCACTGTGAGAGCCAGCGGCGTTTCACCACCACCGTCACTTACCATTCCACCATGTGGGGCAACTTCTCGTTGATGGTCCAGTGTGGGTCAATCTCAACTGGGTAATAGTGGTGAAGGAGTGCTTTGAGCTGTGACATCCAAAATGAAGAGAAAAGCCAGTAGTCCACATCAGGTTTTCCCTAGCAGAGGCTTACTGTGCAGTGTGAGAAAAAAATCACACCTAGATGTGACTTCATGTGATGGAGTGACTGGGTCTGCACAGCTGAACTTTCCTCTGCACTCACCCTGAGAGAGTGAGGTCCAAGCATCAACAATATAAAGAACTTTTGCTCTCAGATGAGAGGTTATTAGGATTTTGCTGCTGTGGCTGTTACAAATTAGCTCAGCATCACATCAGCACTTAACCAAGAAGAACTGATTTAATATTGTATTTCCCCAAATAGGTACACTTCCTCAGGTGGTAGGCAAGATAACTTTGTAGGGGGGGAAATGGATAAAAACACTTTTCATTTGAGTAATTTTGGATTCATTTCAATGTTAGAAAAAGAAGGAAAACTAACATATCAAACTCATGCTTTCATAAAAGATTGTTTCTTTTGCAAGTTAATTACATTCAGGTCTTTAAAAGCAGGGCAATTTACACAGATATGGCAGAAATCACGCAAGTGAAACTAGAAGGCTATAGTTTGGGACGCAGCATGTTAGGGGGTAACTGTCACACTGCCAGCGTCAGGTGGACCACCTTCACGGGGAGCATCTATGTACCTTCTCTGGTTAAAGGTCACCTTCCACATGCCAGGAACTTCCACACTCTAGGGAAGCCACTTCAGGGACCACGCGTCACACGGGATGGGTCAGTAACAATACCCAATAAAAATGGGAATTGATTAAGTAAAGAATTCTAATTTTAATATATGCATGGTCTCAAAATATGAGAGCAAATGGAATCCCCAATCATCAGTCCAAAAGAGGGTTAAATACCAAGCTTGTCGAAGACAGAAAATTCCTTAAATGTGTTAAGATTCTCAATGTTTTCTTGTGTGAGAATTTTTCTAAAAATATGAGAATTCAACAAGAATATAACTGTTGAAAAAGGAAAAGAAAGAATTCTTCCATAAATTTTGCCTTTATTAATTTCTTCAGGAACCCATCAGCACCAAGAATCTTAGTTTTCCCTAGCTTCTTTATCCTAGACAGAGCATTCAAACCTACTGTCTTATTTGTGGACGCAGCTTTCTGGAGGTTGCTAAAATCAGGGATGGGAGAAACCAAAAAAAGTGACTTGCCAAAGGTACTCAGTTACTGGAGAGGGAACCTACTTTAAGCTAAAAGTGGCATCCCCTGGTGGGAGGGAAATAGTTCAGTGGGAGAGCACCTGCTTAGCATGGACCAAGTCCTGGATTCAATCCCCACGAACTCCACTTAAAAAAAAGTGTTAAAAAAAAAAAGGCATCTCCAGAGAGACAGGCTTTAGAAATATAAAAGCCTCCCCAGCCATCCCCCAACCCCACCCGGCCGCCCCCACCTTGCCCCCGGCGGTACTTGTAAGCGGTCTCCCCCGCCCCTGCGGAGGGCGCCCACAATCTCCTGCACCAGCCCGGGCTGCCGCATCAGGACCGTTGCCTTCATCAGGGTGCTCACCTGTCCCGAGACCCGAGAGAACGGCTGACCCCGGCACGGCGCTGAGCCCAAGGGGAGCCTACAGGCCGCGGTGACGCGGCGGGACCCGGGTGGCCCGCTGTGGGTCTTGGAGAGCCCGGGGGTCGGGACCCGCCCCACGCCGGTCCCCTTCTTTCGCCTCGCCTCCTCCGTCATGGCGCTCAAACGCTGGTCTCAGGCGTTGGGCCAACGGCCCCCTCACGGCCGTACTGCACAGGCTTCGCCTCCCGCCTGGGCGGGGATGGGCGTGCCGGGGGTGGGCGGGCCTGGGGTGGGCCCGCGGGCTGCAGGCCCGGCTACCCGCAGAGCCGCGACAGGCAGGCGGCCTCGCGCGGGTGGCGGGGCGCGCTAGGTGAAAATCCTGTTGGAGGGCCCTATGTTGAGGATGGAAAGGGTCCCAAGAGGTTGGGCTTCCGTGGTTGCCACTCTTTCTAGAGCAAAAATCCTAGCCAGAGCGGTCATTTCCAGGCTTACAGTTTGCATAACAAAAGAGCTGCATGATGGGAGGGGACGTGAAAGAGCCATAAAGGGAGTTCTGTTGGACATCCAGAAAGTGCTTCCTTCACCGGGCCCACTCCTCATCACAGAAGAAAATGAGAGGGCAGGAAAGTCATGGACAGCTGGGCCAGAAGGAAAGCCAATCAGCCTTAACTTCTCCCTGCTACCTCCTCTGACTTGACTTCCTTGAACTCAGTGGGGAGCCAGGTGCCGGGCTGCGGAAGAAGGTGAATGGATGCTACAGAGATGCGGAACTGAGCACCTGAATTGGGCAACAGGAACTCGAGTAAATCAAAACTCATATTGTTACTGAGTCCAAACTCGTTCTGCTAGCTGCACCACAGGCCAATAAATCGGGAGACGAGGTGTTGGGGCAAGGAATAGCGACTTCATTCAGAAAGCCGGCAAACTAATGTCTTGGAGAACCGTCTTCCTCCAATCAGAATACAGGGTCCTTTTATACAGAAAAACAGGGGAGAGGATGTGGTTGATTGTTGCAAAATTCTTGCTGCAGGAATTCTTTGTTTCTGCAGCTGTCCACGTAGGCCAGGTCATGGTACTCCGGCAAAACTTCCAACAAAACAGAGGTTATTTTCTATTCTGCAACTTATCTTTATATAAGTGCAGAAGTGTTAATATCCTCAGAGCCTTGAGAGAAGGTTCTTCTGTTTACCAGACAGGCTAAAGGCAATATTCATTTACAAAAGGTTGCAGAGCTGGCAAGAATAAGCCTAGAAAACAGGGCACAGTGGTTACAGCTAAAGGAACAGATCCAATATAGAGTCAGATTTGTTTCCCTCTATTGTAGTATGTGGTGTTGGTGGTCACAGTCCTGCTACTGGTTGCAGAAGGTGTGGGGTGGTCTTCAGCCTGAGGTGGTGTGTTGGGGGAGGGGAGAAAGAAGGAGGACAGGGACAGGGGAGAGTTCCAGAGCCTGAGAGCACAATCCTGAGAGTGATCTCACTGCAGGCCCAGGATTCTGGAACTTTGGCTGCCTGATGGGCCCTATATGAAAGATGTAGTAGGGAAAAGGAGTGACAGCTGGCTAAAGGGGCCCCCCACAACACTCCCCGACACCCTAGGAGAGTAGCCTCTCCCCACTGGTCCCAGGGTGCCATGGAGATGGAGAGTGCCGCGGCCTCCACACGTTTCCACCAGCCTCACATGGAAAGGAAGATGAGTGCGATGACTTGTGAGATCTTCAACGAGCTTAGGCTGGAGGGCAAGCTCTGTGACGTGGTCATCAAGGTCAATGGCTTTGAGTTCAATGCCCACAAGAACATCCTCTGTAGCTGCAGTTCCTACTTTAGGTATAACAGGGTTGCTGAACTAAGCCAACGGGGGAACTGGGCTCATTCTGAGCCCTTTTGATTTTATGTTTCCTACACTGTTATCTTAAGCTTAGGGACAATGTCAAAGCCCTGGGCTCCTGTAGACTGGCTCTTTTGTCTTCTGTAGAGGTACAGCCTGGGCCAAAGCTTCTCTCTCTCTGATTTTCAACTGGATTTCAGTCAACTATTGGTGGGCCAGGTGCTTTTTCTCTTTGATTTTCATATAAACCAAACTTTGGGAAGGTTGGACACCTGTACTGGATTTCCTACTTAAACCTAGATGACAGTGCCACTTCAGCCACTCCTTAAGTCCCTATCTGAGACTATCTTAAACAGAGTGATAAATTAACAAGGATTGAGAGGATGGGAAGGGGGATGAGAGGAAAGAACAAAGGAAGTATTTATTAGGAGAAAAAGGGAGTTTGAGCCCAAATCATTGGAACCTAGGAAGTTAAGGGCTATTTTGTTCATGAGCTGAAAATGTTTGAGTACTCAATTCCAATGAAGATAAGATAAATGCATCCCACCTGTTGCTAAAAATTCTCTCAACTATCCCTAGAGCACGGTATACAAAAAGAAAAAATGACTATTTTAAGCTTTTCAGGCCATATAGTCTCTGTCGCGACGACTTCACTCTGCCTTCGTAGTGGGAAGGCAGCCATGGACAATGCTAAATGAAAGGGCATGGCTGTGTGCCAATAAAATTACTTATGGACTCTGACATTTGAATTTATTGTAATTTCCAGGTGTCACAAAATCTTTTGATTTTTCCCTCCCTTTAAAAAATGTAAAAACCTTTCTTAGCTCATGGGCAGCATAAAAACGAGGTAGGCTGAATTTGGCCCAGGGGCTGTAGGTTTGCAGACCTCTTCTCTAGAGAATTTGGTCTCAGAGCCCATAATCCCTTAAACCTCCTAGAAAAAAGAAGCAAAAAATATATTAGGCCAGGGACTGTCTCGTGTGACACCTAGAAAAGTACCTAGCTCCATAGCAGAGCCCAATAGGTAGCTGTGAGGCAAAGCCAGCAGGATTGGAACAAAGCGAGAAGGCCAGAAGGAATATGGTCAGAGAAGTATTCCTGGTCCAGATCTCAGAGGACTTTTGTAGTCCCTGGTAAGGACTTTGTATTTTACTCTGAGGAACAAGGGAAGTCAGTGGAAGGTTCTGAGTAGACGAGGAGCATAAACTCATAAGGCTCACTCTGGTGGCTGGGAGAAGACTATAAACTCTGGAGGTGTCAAAGGGAGAAGCAGGGAGATCAGTCAGGAGGTGACACCCAATAATCTAGGCAAGAGATGGTGGTGGCCTGCACCAAGAAGGAAGCAATACGAGGTGAGAGGTGATCAGGCTCTGGATATGTGCTGACTGAATATACTTGTTTAAAAAGAGTATTTGCTCAAGTTTAATTTCCTTCAGCAAGGTAGCATTTGGTGGGCAATGGGCTGAGACAGATTACTGGGCTTACTCCAGCTGTGGGTTCCAATTTCTCCATCCAGAAAATGGGGGAAAGGCCTACTTATCATGAAGATAGGAATAAAAATGACAAAAGTCAAAGTTCTTGGAAAGGTTCTCTTGCCCACTGTATAAAGCCAGCCCTCCCCCTCCCCTTCCTCACACCAGTTTATTTCCAGTGTATTCACTGTGTACTATTTGGAAAATGGCCAAACTGTCTGCAACAAGAAAATGTTGGGGAGAGCGTGGCAAACTGGAGAGAAATGTTTCAGTGACTGCTCATTTTTTTCTTTTTTCCAGAGCTTTGTTTACAAGTGGCTGGAACAACACTGAAAAGAAGGTATACAACATCCCTGGCATTTCCCCCGACATGATGAAGTTAATTATTGAATATGCGTACACCCGGACCGTCCCCATCACACCTGACAACGTGGAGAAGCTGCTGGCTGCTGCAGACCAATTTAACATCATGGGTATTGTCAGGGGTTGCTGTGAGTTCCTCAAGTCGGAGCTGTGTTTGGATAACTGTATCGGCATCTGCAAGTTCACAGACTACTACTACTGCCCTGAGCTGAGGCAGAAGGCCTACATGTTCATACTGCACAACTTTGAGGAGATGGTGAAGGTCTCAGCAGAGTTTTTAGAGCTCTCAGTCACTGAACTTAAGGATATCATTGAGAAAGATGAGCTCAACGTCAAACAAGAAGATGCTGTATTTGAGGCCATTTTAAAATGGATTTCTCATGACCCCCAAAATAGGAAGCAGCATATTTCAGTTTTGCTTCCCAAGGTCATTTAGTCATTTTTTTGTGGGACGCTTAATTGTTCACTTTTAATTCATTTATCCCAGAGGGATTGTCCCAAGAGCCAGACTCAGATGTTCTGACAGGTTCCAGGGCTGTAGTTACACGTCCATACACTTATATATGTACACATAGAGAAGGCGTCTCCTGCTATTCTCTGGAATTTTGCAATTTTCTTTGCCCCTGGCATAGCTAGTTCCTTCTACCCTAGTTGTATTCTCTTTGAATAAAATTCTTCCTGGTAGTGGGGGAAGGAGAGGG